TTTTTGTTTTGTACTTGAATTGTATGAGTAAAAAATAGAATTGAGATTTTAATAAATAATAATTATCGTATATAAATTAATAAATTAAAAAATTCCATAGATATATCCACGATTAAATATAAAACTATACAAATCTTGATGCCATAGCTAGGCAGTGTAAGTGCTAAAAATACAAAAAATTCAGACTGATAATATTAGCATAGAATATTTCATATATTCTGTGATATTAGTATAGTAAATTCTCTGTACCTATTCGTTAAAGAGAACATAACGATTAATAATTTAAAATGCACATCAGTCTAAACGTTATAATTATAGAGCGGATTTTTAAGTTTTTAAAATATATTTTTATTTGTCCGATGTCATGAAGATCCGGTCTGCAACCGGATTTATGAACCAGGTTTTTGGACAAATCTGTCAAAACCGTTGGATATCCGTTATCTCGAGAGCTTGCGCCGCTGCACAAACGATTTATACATTGTTGCCCAATTATGACGTTACAGTCACTAGGTGTGTTACCCTAGCACCCCAAGGTTAAAATTTTGACTTGAAAACTGTTTGGTATTATGTAATTTATTATGTAACATTTTGTAACCGCAAAAAAAAATTTTGTAACCTCATCGGTGCCCCGGAAAACGGCGTTACAAGTTCCGGGTGCCAGGGTAACGTCACCCCAGCACCCCAAACATTAAATAATTAAAATTTCGACTTAAAAACTGTTTGGTATTATGTAATTTATTATGTAACACTTCCGCCGACAAAGCACCTGAAATAGGATTGCCGTCCGTCACACCCACGGAAATGAACGTTTCGACGTCCACCGAATCGTCTAAAAATGCAAATATTACTCACGCTACTGTAGAAATTAGCGAGATCACGATGCTTTCATCAGTCTCGTCCACTTTTCCACCAGTTCAGCCGATCAAAGCCGACGCGTGGCAGTTAAGTTCGGTAGCAGAACATTGCCAKCCAAGTTTGGTGGCAAAACCGACTGATCACAAGACAGCAAGAGTTACCTGCAGGACATGATGGTAACCCGTGGCTACTGTGGTGATGATGCGGGAACGAATCCGACAGTTACCACGTTCGACGTTCATCATTATTAAGCCGGACTGAAAAGATTTGTCAGGTGAATGTTTGTTGCGGCGCTATAGTCATAGACCGGAACGCAGAGGTTCTCAACCTTTTTTTTATCTCACATCCCCTTAGCTTCTTTTCTAGAAATCCGGAAGCACTATAATCCATACTGAATACACATCAGTATAGTAATAATTTTGCGGCACCTTCAAATTAAGTAATACCCTGCAACCTCGTTGGGATGAACCTCTGTTGTAATGTATAAAGTTTATAATGTTAAAATAATATTGGCACGGAACAAGTGAGTAGTCAAATTTCAGCAGAAATAACCAACACTTTGCACATCGGTGCAAAATAAAAAAATATTTTCCATATCATAGATAAGACTCTTTTCAATTTTAAGCTTATTTTAAACCATATATGTTTGAATAATTGACAAACTGAATATTTCTCAAATCAGTTAGAGTTGTCAATTAAATTACCATAAAAAGCTGATAAAACCAAACAAGGAATTTTATTTCAAATGATTTTATACTTATATTATAGAGATAGTAGCCGTGCATTACGGAGTAATATATAGGCATTTTATAGTTTATTTAACGCATATATGTTATACATTATCATTTTGAATCCATCAAAGATTAAGAAAAAAAATTATAATAATGTCTGTGTCTTATTCATGTTAATTATATTAAAACAATAAAATAATAGTATAAGAAATTCTAGTTTTTCACAATATTTTATAATAATACATACATTATATTTTATAAATAATATTCTTTGGTATATAAATATGTAGTTATCAATCGAATAGTAAAAAATTATGTAATAACTTACAAATTTATAATTAGGTACAGAAGGTATACAAAAGTAAAATTATTTAATAATAAATTAATAAGTAACAATTACGCTTTACGTTCACAGATACTTTTGATTTTCATCTCGGGTAATGGCATAGATTCAATTCCATTGAGATCAGGTTGAACTGTATAGATAAAAAAACATATAGCAAATTAAAAATGCATGAAATAGTTTATACAATATTTATCATACTTTAAGCTATAATTATAAATTAATTAATCTAAGAATTTGTAATGTTTTTGTGTGAATAAGTTTTTCTCATAGCCTAATACGTATTATTAGGCTTAATTAAAAAATTAACYCTGAAATTATTGAGAGAATATAGTAATTGATTTTCTTAAAATAAAATTATTTTAATATTATTGAACTTGATCGATTTTTTTAAAATTTTACCATGTTTAAAAACTTGGTTTTCATGGAAATATAGATTTTATTAAGGCATAGGCACATTGGTAAAAAAAATATTGCAAAGTTAAATGTGTACATACTAAAATTAAATTTATTTATCGAATTTTGAAGTGGAACCGTAGACAAGATTTTAACGTTTAGTGTAGCTTCTAGTATAGCCGCTACGCRTTCCTTAGCGTTAATCASTTCGAATTGACAAGACTCGGATTTCAGTTCATTTATCAACGAGTTGATTCCCTGAAAAAATAAACGAGAGATTAAAATACAAACTCGTACACATAACATACATCAACATTTATACATTTTTTTATGTGTCAATATCAGATAATTATTAGAATAAAACTATACATTGTATAGTATAGTATATAATTTCTAGTCACAGGCCTGGTTCTAAGAGTAGGTGACATATGCCTACTCGCCTAGGACGACATTTTAGTAGAGGGTGTGGCAATACAATGATAATATTTCTATTTTAGAGGTGGAAAAATTTGATTTTGCTCAATGCACTATTTTCGCTTGAGCTAGCTCTGAGTAATCATAATCAGTGAGTTACCATACCAAAGAGATTTGTTATACTTAAACTCTAATCACAACTGTTGTATTATAACTATATTATACAAATTTTAGGGTGATCATGTACTTGAGCAGCCGTGAAGTCGGTCTTGTCAAAATGCACACAGTCCACGATTATGAGATTTGGTTTGTTTGGGCGTTCTGAAGACGACATCTCAACAATGATCCGCTGTCGCATAAAGTCTACCGCTGGGAATAGTAGCCCACTGCTGGGTCTGACCACCCATTTTACATAACCTGAGTTCTAAAAAAAATTTGTTCATCGTTAGAATTCAGTATAGGTAATATACAATAATAATATTAAATTGTAACATGGTTTCGTTATAACGTTCGGAAAATTCTGATCCTGATTATTATTTTGTACGATACAAAATTGTATAATATCTATTTGAAAAAGGTAATACAAAAATAAAATTATTACAATATTATTTGTTCCTGTTTTTATAATTTCAAATGGTAATGTTATATTTTAAATTTTAGTAATTTTATTTAAAAATATTTAAAACCTTTATTAGGTATATGTCTAKAAATTTAAACAAACAAGTGATACKCCTATATTAAATTAAGATTACGATTTATGATCCTTTATATATGTATGTGTATTGTTAAGATAAATGATATACAATGGAAACGAAAAAGATATACGTTTTGTGTTYACTCACAATTTCTTTTTCGATGGAAATCGACGGCCTTGCACTGCGATAGAGCACGCACATCAAGTCGACACAGATTCCGATCAGAAGTCCCAGCTCGACGTTGAATATCAAACACGAGACGAACGCGGTGGTAAACGGTATTAGATCACGTCCTGAGTAATAGAATCCAACGTGAGTTTTATTAGGTATTTGATAATAATATTATAATTGTGGTTTCAAYGTGTATTTTAAGCATTGTTGAAATTCTTCCAATTCAAACTGTATTCGATATTGGTATGTATATAGTTTATACATATTTTGTTATTATAAACGACGTCAGATAATCGGGTAGCGTCCGACTGGAGACTACACGTTCCGATAATGTACTTAAAATAAAATACGTATAATATAGGTACGATACGTATTATGTTTCATGTAAACACTATTATAGCAATATATTGCATAAGTGTAAAAGATATTTATATAATATGATGGTATTAATAATTAATTATACGATAATATCAAGGTAATACGGTAATCGCGAGAGAGATATTTCTAAAATTCGGAGGACGTAAATAAAATATCCATGTCGGCTTCTATCTGATGAGTAATGAGCAATGCATTACGTATAATATCCAGTAGGTATCTGTCAAGTCTAAATCGAGACATCTATGACGAAGAGGGTAGACACTAGAGATTAAATATCTAACATCGAATTTGAAGACGAGTATTGGGTATATAGATTATTTTTGAGATCATATTAATATACACATTTTGTAAAATGCTGCATCAATAATATAATAGCTTGGTTGTAAAATAATAAAACGTAAAACGCTGAACGCYTTCATCGTCAGTTTAAATAAAAGTTGCAAATAGGTATCTCTTTTTCACTAATATGAAGCTCCTCATTTTTGTTCTTTGTCAATCMCAACATGCAAAATATAAAAATACTGGTAATTACAAGTATAGGTATTAGCAAAGTTGGACAGTATCAAAAATACAATTGTATCTTATATCGTGATACATAATTTTTGAGTATTATTTTGCCRAAATCCACAAGAYACAATTTTATTGTAAATATTTGTAGTTTGTTTTTAAAAGTAACAATAAATTTGATATCGATTTTCAGGACACTCTGAACTTAAGATAAATTTAACAATGCTATACTTTGCACTTTGCAGTAAAATAATTAGAAAAATATTAAATTTGAATTAAATTTTTCATATGGCCGTATACAGTAGGTATGTCAATAAACATTTTTTAATCAATAAAAGCATAAGAGTGCATTTAAATTTTTTAATGGTTACTTATATTTACCTAAAATTTTAAATCAAGATTGAACTTTTGAGGTATATTGAAAAAATATTCTACCKGTTATGGAACACTAATATTAACTAATAATTTTACGTCTTATAAGGTAAATACTTTTACAGACTAAGATACATGTGTWGACGTGTATACGAGTATAGACTACTCTAATAAATTATAGGCAATTTAATTGTAAAGTTGTAGATCACATTAAAATTGAACGGCTACTTACTATTGGTTTTCCATAACAAAATCGCCATGTCGTATCGGAACATCGAAATCACCGCACAAATGAGAACAGCAGACAAGCTAGATCTAGGTATGTAATGGAGAAGTGGTGCCAAAAACAACAACGACAGCATGACCAATATAGCTAAAAATATGTGTTTGTAAAACGTTATAGCTTGTAAACTGTAAACCATGCGATTTAATGTTTGGAAATTTACTTGTAAATATTGAGCTWAACGTTGTATGAACACCGGTGGTATGATTAAGAGCAGACCTAGACATACTTCCCGCTACGGGCATAGATCCCATAAACGAGCAGAAAATATTACAGAATCCCAACGCTATCATCTCTTGTGATGCATCAACAACTCTTCCACCGCCTACGGAGAAGAAAACGATTTATGGTTATATTGTTATTAGGTGACAATGCTCCGTCAATTTTATGMGAACAAATCAGATTGTATGCACAACGGATATCTTAAATATTTTCAATGTATAAAATGTATTAGACACACGAGTCAGATCAATACATTTGACATCAAACTTTAAACTAATTAACATTTTATCAAAATGTAGCATTACTACATAATATTGTTTCAGTCAATATGTTTAACGTGTTATTTTGAATCTAAAACTACTGTAAGCTTGCACAGGTTCACAACATAAATTATGTGTGAAATTCATCATGAGAATGCAGTAGAATTGATAGTTGGTAGCGGAGCAAAAAGTGAATATTTTGACAGCCAAGTAGCCAGTAAACATAAAAACGTTTTATTTATAGAAGAATAACCGACTAGGTACCTAATAAGTAAAAAAATGTAATATCCACCCGCAATGTTCTCGAGGTTACCCTAACTCAGTGTATAATATATTAGGTAATCTATAGATGTTTCAAGTTTRATTAACAACTTACTGAATGCTTTAGCAACCGAAACTGTGCTCAAAATCGACACCAACGGCACAACTATCGCACCAGGCCATAACCTGGACAAACCTTCGATAAAGGTAAACTTCTCGTCTTCGTTTTCGTAGTCAAAAAACAGAAATCGAAATTGTGGTATGCCACTAGATATGGTACCTAAATAATTTGATAAACGGTGCTCATATAAAAAAATACAATTTATTTCCAATTTAAAATACACTAATACGTTCACAATGTAGTAATGTAGTACCTGTCAATACTAATGGTGACTGGCCTTGTCTGATTGAAAAATATGCGATTGTCGACGATACGACGACTACGAGAACATTGCTTCCGGTGGTCAACAACAACAAAATCATGGAATAACATTTTGCTTTCATTCCTTTAGCATTGAATTTCATGTATTTTAAGCTCTATAAATAAAGCACGGTGTATAAACTGACGTTTGGTTTATATTATTCATATTATCGTGTACACTCACCTTCAGTCCTACCARCACGAGGATGCACGTCAGTCCCATAGCGGTGTCTGCTATTCGAAAATTTTCAATATTTTCAACAAACTTTATCCACATTTCTAAGCAGTTTTTGGCGTTGTAAGAAATCCCGAACAATCCTTTCAATTGTGAGGAAGCCATTAGGATAGCTGCAGCCGATACAAATCCACCTGTCACCGGCATCGATACGAATTCAACGACGAATCCTATATCATTAGAAAAAAGGAAAAMCCAATTYAGACTTTATATTAACTTAAAGAAATTGTATGTATGTTAGACTAGATAAGTTTTGTGCACTTCACGCTAGTATAGMAGTATCCATATTCAATAGACTGGAGAATCTAACACTTTTAATATTTGTGGAAATATAATATTAGGTGATGCACATTTATTAATTTCACTTGTCATTTTTGAATCAGTAAAAATAATRTATTAATCTCCAAGCATACAATAKTTCATATTATTCGACAGTGTTTACATTATTTTACTGTTATGATCAGATGTTGGKCAGACATTACTGAGTGTTGAAATATGAATAAACTGTTGTTTTATTCTACGTTAGTGAACTTYAAACTTTCCGCGTCCCAATAACATTATAAGCCCAATAAAATTATTTTTTTACGTGTGGTATTTATTGTATGCTATTGAAATGTAGTCTCTAATTAGTCTTAAAACGACTTTATCAGAGGTAATATAACGAAAACGTCACCTAATAAACGGAATGTCTTTAGGACGATGCTACACAGATATTTGTAGTCTCCGCGTTTTAAAAATGCACAACATGACAAATTGTACGCTTAGCAGAACACGTTTAGCTCCGTAAGCGAATTGACATCTTTTAAAATTTAAAGAAAAGATTAGTACCTTGGGAATCTCATAGGATTTTTAGAATATTTAATTTTAAAGTGAGTTTTGAGTATTTTAAAATTAAAACATAATATAATAACCATGAGATGCCATTAGATACTAATCTTATCTTTAAATTTTATAAGAAGTCAATTCACTGTAATTTTTAAATTTACGGAGCTAAACGTGGTGATTTACTGAATGTAAAATTTTCCATGTAGCAAACTTGTACAATGCGAAAATATCGGTGTAGCGCTTTCTTAAACGATATTTATAATGATAACWTAATAAAAAACTGTTTTTTTTCGTTTGTTGACGTTTTAAATTATTTTTACTAACCACACCGTTAAATGGAAATAAATTGCGGTACAACTCAATTTCACTGATTACAAACTTGCTGTACCTAAGCGGAAAAGTCCACAGACGAGCTCAACCATTCCCGACACAAAACAGAGAATAACCGCCGTATTTGGTAACTCTGGTTTGACGTAGTTAAACGTGAGCAACGCAACAACGGACGTAGGGCCGATGGTAATTTGACGTACTGATCCAAATACTATGTACATCACGCTACCGAAGCATGCAGCATACAATCCAAACTAATAAAAATGTAAAACAATTTATAATGATCAACACATCGCAATTAGAAAATATTTAAATATGTTAGGTGTCTTCAAGTAGTTATCTAAGTATTTAGACATTTTTTGTCAAATGTAAAAATTATAAGATACGTCAAAAAAGCGGTGAAATTCGATTTTTATTATGTGTAGAAGTCTAAAGAATAGTAAAATTAATTACTATAATAGTTGTAATACAAACATATCTTAATTAATAATATAATATAGACATACAGACATACAGACCGTCCAACGTTCAAACTCATTAGGTATTTTTCGTACTTCGAATTCAAATTTAACAAATACATTGCAGTGACTTACTCAATGATGAAGTACACTCTGTACCAACATTATAATAGAATGGTTGCCTATTTTCAACGGTTTTAAAAACAATTAAAATACAATGTTTTTATAAATTTTTATTCAGACTATAATAAAATACTAATTTATCTATAAAGGTTTCCTACCATAATTTTTGTATTCATTTAGAAAAACAAAGCCTTCCAGTTTTATCGATTACTTATTTCACCTTTTTAGTAAATGTAAATCAATTAATATCATATGGTAAAATTATATTTTATGTCATGCGCATCATAAGCATATATCTATTATTCTTAATAATGTGTCAGGTAATGTGCCATGACTCGACAAATATTACTCGATAAGATGATACTGACAATTGATTATTTTAAAAAAATCATCTGCTGAACAATTAAAATAAAAAATAAATACATTCATCGCTCCGCTCAGAATCTAAACTCTAAGGTTATCAACCGAAAAATAAAAGTTTGTTTTGCCCGCAGAGTCCACAAAATGTACTCCTTAAACGGTACAAAAGCATTCGAAATTAATGGTCTTAATAATGGACGTTCAAACATTTTAAAAATCATACTTTATATGGCTGGAAAAAAAGAGGCGAACATGGATGGCAAACTAACTATCCTGTGTGGCTATGTACGTACACACTCTCGATCAGTACAACTTACGAGTGGGTCCAGTCCCGCCAGCGACGCGTAGGCTATAGATTGAGGCATCAGGGTGAGCGCGACAGTGATGCCCGACACGGCGTCGTACAGCAARTCCACCTTCTTGTATTTTGGCATCCATGTCAATATCGGCAAATAGCTGATCAATATATAGTGTAGCTGGTCTCTAAAAGATCCCGTGTGCACCATTATGGCGTGTTATATTCTCGTCGCGGCGATAAACTGTTCGTCGCGCATCAATCGTTCGCTGGTCGTTCGCCAGTCATGCAGAGCATTTACAGCACTTAGATTTCCGAGTATATRCTGTTGATGATATGTGTTTTGTTGTAAGCAGCCCACTGTAATAGTAAAAACAAAAAAGAAAGATATTAAGACATGAGTAGGTTTATATAGTCACGGATTAAGGTAAACAGTAATGCAGGAAGTTCACGAAGAAGAATAGATGAGTAGGAAGTCTGGTGGTTAATGCACGCGTGTATCAAGTAGTATAACACACACATTTCAAATACATGTTTTTGTTAAGAGGACACTACAGTGGCTACACCTYTGTATGAGGCGTTGTCGCTGTCTTGTAAACAAATAACATGGCAAATTGTACGATCTGAATAATATTTTTTGCTTGGGTATGTTAAATCTAAGAGCCCGATTGCCACGTTATGGGGTTTAAAAGTAAGAGTAATGTCGATTGAACATCATAGGTAAACAATAAATTTACAATTATTTCGCTGGTCGTGTGGAGCGGATACAGCACCCCGATCTTYCGTTATCAACTGTTGAAAAGTGGTTTGCGTCGACTGTATAACAGAAAAAATTAAGATATTGAAACAAAATTGTGGTATATGAACAGAGTACCTATAGTATAGATAGTACGTATGGTTATATTTAATAATATAGCGTATACTTTATAATACATTTTAATTCAAATGCCTCTTGTGAAAATGAATAAGTTGTTTCGTCATAAATTTTTCTTCATATTCCCAGATGCACAACACAATATGTTTAAATTATAATATTGTGTTGACTTTTTATTGCGTTTTGCATGATATCTGTAATTTTCATAACATATTATTAAAAAAAATTATCCTAAATCACTATAATTACAGTTATTGTAATTTAAAATCAAACACTTAGTGAAGCTGCTGTAACGTCGTCATAGCTGTTATCGTACTGAAATATTTTTTTCGTTGTGTATCTCACTGTGCCCTGCGTAATTATACTACATTACTTTGTCATGAATATACTATTTATGGTACGAACAGATAAAACAACGATAACAAACTCGTAGTGTATAGTTTTCAAATAAAATAATTATAATTTGTATCCATGTTCATTCGGTCTCTAAGACTTATTACTCATACACAATAGACCAACCATACTATATACCAATCCCGTAATTTCTTTCATAAGTTGTTATTATCATCAAATTAATAATGACATAAACGTCGCAATAATTACTAACGTTATTAATTTATTGTTTTACATATTACCAATTAACCRTACTCTGCATAATATACTATAAGACACAGTAAATAATTGTTTTTTATAATTACCGTGATTCATACAATACACTATATTATACACTCCAATAAATTAAAGCTATAATACATGCAGACATTTTGAAAAATTCAAAATATTATACTTGTGAATTGTATTATTGTTATGAACGTTGTATAATTCACTATTTCGAAATTCTAATATATAGTTCAAAATCTAGCATAACTCAACCAAGATCTTAAAAATTCACGAAATGTCAAAATATATATAATTCAATTTTCAATGTAGGATTTAATTTTCGTATTGATCAAAGAGTGTAAGAGTGAGAGAGCGAGAGAAAACAAATACGGCACTGATATCTTAGTCTATGATGTAAAATTGGAAAACTTATCTTTTGAATTATTTGCC